GTGGAATTATTACATCAGCATATTTCTTTGTTGGATGAATGAAGTCCTCAAAACCAGGTTTAACATATTTTGCATACTGCATGTCAGATAGTACAGTCGGCTTGAAGAATATAAACTTTCCAAACAAATCAAAGATTTGATTACTAATGAATCAATTGATAGATAATCCAATTTATAGTGAATCATCAAAAAGTTCACAGCAACTTAATGTCGAACCAGTAAACACACACGCTGTCTGTTTAACTGGCACATATAATAAATAGTTTAACTAGGTGAATAGACCCTATTGACATCCAATTTGGTAATATAGGTTAATTATAGGACCATATAGAAGATTTCCCGTGTAAATAACGGTCCAAAAGAACCTCTTTATACAACATTTCTGAACCTCTAACCAGTGTGGCTCAGTGCGTGAGGAACTAGCTGCAGAACCATGGCTAAAAGCCGTTTGTACACAAAATGAGGTATATTAATATATCATGTATTTAACTTACATATATTGATAGTGTAATAAATCTTTACACTCCCAGCAGATTTTAACCTATCGTAGCAGATAACCTGTCTTATTTTCCATGTTACTAAACCGAAAAGGAGTCTCAAGTGAAAGAGAACTGCTAACGTGGTAACCTTCCATACAATTGAGGGGCAACAGAAAATCTAAAAAGGAGCATTAAATGCAAAAAGAAAACTGCTAACTTGATCTAGCACGTTTTGGATGTTTCTGTTCCTCTCAACAGTGTCCCGCCGTATCCTCCTGGCCAACCGCACATCAGAGTCTGCGTTCATGAATTTATTAACAGGTTAGGGAACAATATGGAACACTGGAAATATGTCCTAAAGGCTCTCGTATCATAATATTTGATTTCCAGTTTCAAAAGCAAGAATAGGGGTAAAGAGTGAACCGCAAAATATCAAGTAAAAAGCTGTCTTGTTTCTCTTTTCCTATTTGGGGATAAGCGAGGGATGTTAAGGGTCAATAGAGGAGAACCTGAATCAACAAATATCTTCATGTTCATGATTTCACGTACACGAGGATCATGTAGAATAAGAATTCCATCTAAAATGATGACATCTGAGGGATTGACCTGTATTTGATTACAAAATGTGTTAACAGAATATCATCTGCATTTAAACTTTGGAACTTTAAAGTGAAGCTCTAAAAGCCAAATACAAAACCTAGAATAATTGAAAATAGTATATGCTGCTACATTTAACTGACTCCAGCAGCTTCAGCAATCTGATTGAACTGTGAACTGTTGCGTTGTTATGGCTTAAACTAGTTTTCCAATTTTTATGGTTTTCCTATGTTTTCTACAGCTCCCATAACTTAAAAGTAGAACCAGCAGCATCAAACAGTATATATACTGCAAGCCATGTAATCAGGATATAACTTACTGCTAAGATGTAAAAATTCACAGCCATCCGATACGCAGTTCTATAATCTGACTGGTACTTGATTCATTATTGAAGTAGTAATGTCAAATTGCTTAACAAGAACTATACACTCAAATCAGTGGCGAGGAAGATAAAATTTATTACCACACGGGCTGCTTCAATGCTTCTATGGCTCTTGAAATCATAATTAGGGATGCTAATTGCTTGTCCATGTTTTAATTTTTCCATACATGATAGCAGAAGCTCTGTGTTAAAGGCATCTGAAAAAGAATGGATGATGTAAACAGGCCAATTTTAGAAAGTGGCCGATAGAGAACTTATTCGAGCAATATTTACAATCTAGTTTGAAACCTCAAACATCAATTCCCTACCAGGATGATCAAAGTTGTAGTCGTGAACTTTCTCTAACTGCTCGGCAGTTAATGGATGATAAAATGCTTCCTGAAAGTTGAAATTAGGTTGATCAAGCGTTAGAAGATGATGAAAAGTTACATATAACAAAAGAATGAAAACTTTCCAGAATACCAATTGTTTACAGTTGAAAGACATACAAATATGATCTAATGGGACATCAAGAGGTAATTCTCAGATTACAAAGTGAGACTGCTTATGAATGCCAAACAGTAGTAGCAGAAAAAGAAGTGAGCAAGATATTACTTGATTGATTAGTACGACGCGTTGATTCTGAAGCTGTGACATAATCATATTGCAAACAGTTGTTTTGCCAGATGCAGTTCCTCCAGCAACACCTTCACAATTTTATTCATTTTAAATGATCATAAGAAACGCATGGATAGAAATTAAATACTAGTAGTAATTGAACATAAAGATTCTCAGGCATACACAATATCAGCTTATTTTCATCGATATCAATCAATCAACTTTACATCAGTCCCAAACTAGTTGTGCTCGGGTACACGAATTCTCTTGTATCCATCTATTTGAGCTATGGATATTAGCTTATTTGCAGATTTAATTGCACGGAAGGAGAAGCCAAGCTTTCCCATCTTTTAATTCTCATCGAATCATGTTACTAAACTACAGGAACAAAAACAAATTTCTTGTTTCTCCTCTGGCCTTTTCAATTCCTTCATAGCACTTAATATAGAGTAGTCCTATTCAATCGATGCATTCCTACCTGAAAAGTAAATGCAATTGTGTGTGTGCGTGTTTAGTTCCACATGCAAGATAGTAGACACGAGGGTCAGAGCCAGAAGCACCATACACTTAATGGATTTTTCTGATGGCGCATAGATATTCATGTGAAAAATTACTTAAATGTCAACAAATAACCCTTATTTCAAAACTACGGTCTATTCAAAGAAAGAACCACAAAGGTTGAGGCCGTCAAATTTAAATCCTGAATCTGCCTCTGGCGAGAGGGTTGAGCCTTACCAATGACAAAAGGTACCTTCAACGGGACTTGTGCAGTGTCCGGGGCAGCATTTGATTGAAGTGAAAAGTGATTTTCAACACTGCTCTTCAAAGCAGAGGCCATTTGAGAATCCATCGGGCTATCCTACAAGAATAGAGGTCTCATTAATGAACTGGGACATGAAAGTGGCATGAATATCTCATCTAGATATAATAGAAAATTTGTCATGGAAAAAAATGAACGGACTTGATATCTGAGTTTCTAATCCTATTGAACTTCAATTTCAATCAATCAACTAGTCCAATTCCAAACTCTATCTGTATGATCTTCCTCAATTCCATATAACAAAGAAGATTGATCTTTATTTCTTTTCCTTAATTTGTATTATGAAGTCTAAAACGATAACCTGAAGAATTTCTAATCCCACGGGTAACAATTATGGCATAGGTGACAATGAAAATAGATGTATAAACACTAGTTGTTGTCAGATTGAAGGAATCTGAAATCATCTCAAGATGAAAATTTACGTACCTCCCTCTTAACGATAGGTGATATTAGTATTCATTGAAGCTCTGTTGAGTGGCAATGGTATTGGTAGAGAAGAGCGACGAGTGTGTGTGGGTTGTTTGTGGTGAATTGAGGAAGAAGCAAACTGAATGAGCGGGAAAATCGCAATTGTTTTGGTCACCTATTTATCACTTGCATATATTGTTTTATTTGTTATTTGCACCTCTTATTTTTATTATTTAGCATCAGTGCCGGCTCCAATGTTATATGTAGTAAGGCATTTGCCTTAGGCCCCAAATTTGGGGGGCCCATCTTTTAAAAAATAATATTAGTACTTCCAATACAAAATTAGAGTTTTTAATATATAAAAAAAAAGCTTTTTAGATATATAAATAAAGTAATAATTCGACTAACTTAAAAATAGGTAGATAAATAATTTTTTCAAGGTTTTAATTTTCCACTTCTTACTCCATTAAAAATTTTACTCTCATCGTTAATTTGTCCAGGTCAATCTTTCTTTTTTCCAATCTCTTTAAATTTCAGAAACCCTTATAAATTTTCTGTCTTTCTCTTTGATATTTTTACTCACCTTCTTTCTCCAATATTTCATTAGTTCAAGTGTTCAACAATACTTTTAAGTTTCTAGTTCTATACTTATATTTCTCTATAAAATATCTTATCTAAGATAAACAATATCTCAAGAAAAATTAAATGAGTTGATTATATTATGAATTGAAAAGGAATTATAACAGAAAATCGATTGTAAAAAAGATTATTAACAACTTTATATCTCAAAAAGTTAGAAGAATATACTTCAAATAAAAATATTTCTTATAACTTTCTTTGAAAAATTTAGGCTTCATATTAAGCTTTGGCCTTAGGCCTCCCATATGCTTGAGCCGCCCCTGTTTAGCATCTGCATACACTCTACTAGAAAAGCTTACCCACCAATTTTATGTTTCCAAACAAATAAAAACATGACACATCGTATTATTTTTACGAGAATTTAATTTTACTAATGCGCGATTTTACTCGATACGTAATTTTGCCTTTGAAGATAAAAGGATGGTATCTAAGTAAAAAGGAATTGAGGGACAGACCCATTATCCATCAAATTTTGGATCATTCGTCACAGATCCTCAGAAATTTCTCGATTATAAAGAAAATATAAAGTGAACGGTGCTTTGACAATTTGTGATAGACGATTCTGATTACCGTATTTGATATGTATACTCTTCTTGTCCAAAAAAGAATAACGTGGTGGAAGTAGGTGAATGCACATTAGTGTGTCGGTTTCTTATTTTTTATTTTAAAACTACATATTTACAAAAAATAGATAAAAGATGTATTAAATACCACATTTTTTTATTTAAAAAATCCAGAATTTACTTTATATAAACGTAGTTAAGGAAAAAAAACCATTCCTAATTAGTAATAATGTCATAAATGCTTTCTTCTATATGTAAACTTGGAGGTGGAAAAGTATATTGAAACTTGGAGTTCAATTAAAGCATATTTGTAAATAGATTGCAAAGCAAATAAAGGACACAGAGAAAAGTACAAGCAAATAAGCCATCCATATCGGATACCGCAAAAATGATACTTGTAACTAGAACAACCTTTTTGGACTGCATAAATTATAACAGAATGCAGATGCAATTGGAAATGATTTTCATTTAGACATAAAAACAAGAATGAAAACTTACATCACAATTACAAAATGTAACAACTAACAACCCACTTTTCAATTTCAAGGGACTATTTAATTTTTTTAAGGTTTTTATGGACCAAATTAACTACAAAAATGGCTGTAAAGAACATAACTCCAACCTCCCTCCCTCCTTTGCAGATGTATATCAGAAGTCTGAACTTTTGCAGATAGTACACTGATCTTTTGTGATCAAACAGAGATCCGGAATCCGGCTTTCGCACACAGAATTTGCCAAACCAAAAATCAGTTAATACTATTGAAAGATAGTCCCAACATTGTCATTGATGAAGTAGACACATATAACACATTGGCCATCAGGATGCCTCGGCCAGATCCTGGCAACGACTACTACATTTTGAACAATGATCGAAATGAGGAGAATTGATCCATTCGCGAAGAAAATATACATACCAAAAAAGTATCATTAAATTGTAAACTTCTCCTGCCAAAGTTTCTTTCGTGCGATTAAAACTTTTTCTTCACTCAAGGAGAGCGCATCGGCCCGTGGTTCTACCTCTGATGACCATCCATCCCATTTTAGCGCAGTCAAGAATTTTCTTACATAGTTTATTATATGAGGTTTGTCCCTTATAATGACAACTCCCTCTGGCCGTAGCATGCGGTCCATCTCAATAAGCAGATCCTCAATGCTGCAGCCTCGATCTTCTGTCTCCGAGAGAATCATCCAGGCATGAAGTAGGTCATACGTACGTGGGTACGTTGAAAATGACTCACACCTAATCATATATGATGGTTAGTCCCCAGCAAATTGAAGGTACAAGTTAGAAGGTATATTTTGCGAGACTACGACAAAAATGCCTCTTATCTGTTTCCTCCTTGCTTGTCCATACCATAGGCGTGACCTACTTTCTAATTTGAGTTATTTCAAAAGATTGAACTTTTAATAGATGTCTATATATCATCTTTACCTCTTTCATAGATGTTAAGCACAAAATATTAGTCTCGTGTCATTCAGATACTGATATTAAACATTTTCCTTAAACTAGTACCTCTTTGACAAAATTCAATCAATATTTTCACAACGTGACATGTAACACAATTGATATTTCACTCCACTTGGAAGGTCGTGGAATTTTAGACAGAAGCGTTGTACATTTACATAAAAGAACGAACAAATTCATTATTCATGACAAAAACATCGGATATAAGCCACAAAACTATTTATTACTGCAACCAATTCTCATGGTAGTTATGAATAGTCTCCTTTTCTTGGAAAGCACTGTTTAGACAAGGCCTTCTTGCTGTTAGTTATTAGTTCATAGGTATTAAGCTAGTTGTGCTTCTGTTCTGCTTCATATGAAAACAAAAAGGAAAACATCACTCTTTAGGCTTTAAAAAGGAAAGACATACTAATCTTGGGATATCTACCAAAGGCTTCAGTTAATTGGCTGCTCGTAATAGGAAATATAATCATGGCTAATCAACATTGTGGAACGTGGCAATAGAGATAGCAAGCAAGTGTATCACATTTTATACATTCTCATAGTATAGCTAATCCTTCACATATAGCTTAAGCCTGAGGCTTCCTGCCATAGTCATTTCATCAAAGTCAAAAGCAAAAGATAAGTAAAATGTTGAACTCTTTCTCGATTTCCATTTCCATCTAAGCTCCTATAGGTCCAACCTCATATAAGTTTACGTTATTACTTTTCTGTTTCACATTTCGGTTTCACGCTGGAAGTTTAAAGTCAATAACAAATATACTGAGACTTTCTAGATGGCGGAAAAAGAGATACGAGTAAAGATAATCTATAAAGAAGAACATCAAGTCTTAACTGGGGAATGGGTATAAACTTAAGAAGAACAAAGAGGGATTAGCATATTTCATTTGCAGCTTCTTCATAATTTTTATTTTCAATTTTTTTTATCCACAAATTTAGGAATTTTATAAAGTTCAAGCTCCTCTTCTGTAAATTTATACAAAAAAAAAAAAAAGGGCTACACAAGTCACTGGTAATCTGCCAATTTCCAATGACTGATGTGCAAAAAATCAGAAAGAAATCTGGATTTCAAAGAGCGCATAGTAGGCAGTTAGCAGTAGGCTGACCATATGCCACAAAAGATTAGCAATAATTATGCTTGTCCATGGGAACAGGGAAAAGGGGTGCAAAGAGAACAATGTCCCAAAGAGTGGAAAGTGGCGCACCAGTCATGAACTGTTCCAATCAAGCCTCGATCATATATTATTTTCATTCTTGATGACATGTTAACAGGAGCAACGTTCATCACCCAAATGTCCTTATCCTTTAGTGCAGCTGCAAACCCACCGAGGTTTGAGTTCATGTCCATGACATTCCTAAATGAGTTCTTTTGGATAACAAACTTCATCTGCTTCCAATAGTCAATCACTCTGTCATGCCATTCGCTCTGAAAAAGTATATACATGTGTTAATTAGCTAACAGACAGATTGAACAAGAAACAGAAACCATTTAATGAAATCCAACAGAAATTCTGTCTTCCCTCTGATTTTACAAACTTACAGTGTCTTTATGGAATTCCTCCAAAGTGACACCAATTTCCTCCAAGCGAGGTGGCGGAGCCGTAAGCCTCTTTGGCCAAGGTAATAGTCCAGTCCCTTTTTCCTTATGCACCTCTTCATTAACATATAATAGCAAGATTATCAGATTAAAGAAAGATTATAAGCAAGCATAATCTCCTTGCAGGAAGTAGATGTATTAGAATGACACAGTTACTAAGAATGACAGTTCTATATGAGTTCTCACTTCTAAGATAGTCACACATTATGCACAGAGAAAAACAGGTTTTGACGCACAGTATAAGCAGAAAAGCATATCAGAAGGATACATATAACCAGCCATTCAAGACGTGGATTGAAAGCATATGAACCATTAGCAGTTGCCTACTCACTTGGTGAGTAAGGAGTGATGCAAGCCTTCATCGGTACGTTCCAAGCTTCATCGGGTTCATCACCAGACACGCACAGGGGAGGTTGGGTCCCCGCAGTTCTCTTCATATAGCAGCTGTTACTCAGAGGTTTAGCCCATATCACAGTTTGGTCTCTCCTTGAAACAACTCTCCAACACATTCTTCTTAGTACATCATACATAGCATTCCAAATTCTTCGATTCTCAGCATCATGCGCATAAGCTTCAGGTGAAGAGTACACAAAGTAACCACCTGGTCTGAGCAATCTGTCAAGTTCCAACAGAAGAATGCCGTCTCTTTGGAGCCAATCAATTCTACAACGTGAACAATGTGCCAACTCAAATGACCTGCTTGGATAAGGTAGTCTTTTGGTGCCCAAGACTCCTAGTGTAGATGGGATTCCCCTTTCTAATGCAAACTGTATTTGATTCTCGTGCACATCATTAGGAGCAAGCGACATAGCTATAATATCATGGGAAAGAAGATATGCTCCAAAGCTCGCGACACCACAGCCAACGTCAAGAACATTTCTTATGTTTCCGCCATTGCTAAGTTTTTCACCAGGAAATTTGAGCATCTACACAAGTACATACAAAACCAATGAATTGTTATGCAACTATAAGTGAATCATCCCGCAACATAAGTAAAGAGTTGAGCTTAATTACCCCTGCAATTGCTGCAATGTATTTGTCCGCTCCATAATGGAAATGTGTTCCTCCACCAGGGAATTTTATTTTGTCTCCATCGACAACCATCCAATTTTGGTCCGACTTTTCCTGTGCAAGATGTGTATGGGGTATATTTGCTTTCCACACTTGGTCTCTACTAGCTGGCCATCTAATTGGGATCTGGAAATCTAACAAGGACTTCGTTCGCATCAAAACTAAACACAAACAATAGCAATATCTAAAAGTAACCTCAGTAATGCACATGAGGACAACTTGACAAGTAGTAAACCAATTGAGGATCATGGTTTTGTACATTTCCCTTAACAAAAGAACCTCAGCTAACTAGTCAAAAGCAATCAATTACTGACCTTGTAACCAGCTGGAGGGGGGATAAGACAGTTGTAACGACGTTGAGGAGGGGGACAATGCCTCTCATAATGCTCCATAACAGTCAAATTAAGCCTCAATCTCAATTGATATATCAAATTTCTGTCCAGACAGGGTATCAACTCGGAATACCTTGTATCACAAACCTATAAATGATAGAAGGAAGAACAGAACCAAGAAAGCAAATCAAAAAAAAAAAAAAAAAACTGAGCAAAACCACACTAATGCAAACTTTACAACAACAACAACAAAAAAGAAGAAATAACAAATCCAGAATTACATGCATACAGGAATACTTTTTGGAACTTCAAGAGACAGTTCTTGATCTTCCAAATCCAGGTCCACGCGCCTATAGTGTGAAATCCCAGTGACTGGATCAGAACCATCTTCAAAAGCGAAAGGGCCACGCGCTCTAGGAAGACCAGGAGCAATAAACGAACAATTGTACAGACAAATCAAACCCAAGAACACAATCATCCCAAATATAGCATATTTCAACAGCTTGGGTCTATGAAGTAGCTCCTTTTTTGGCTTCATTTTTAATTTGCAAAAACCAAAAAATACCCACTTCCAAGATTTCTGCTACTCAAACACTGGTTAAACTTAAAGACCAAGTAGCAGATCCATTTCTGACATACCAAGTAAAGAATTAAGAGACTGTTCAGTGCCCATAAAAGGAGTGTCCAAGATTCACTTTATTTAGTTGAGGTACAAAGTAATACCCTGAAATTGAGAGGACTGTGACTGTGTTAAGAGTTGGTAGTATAATATGTGGAAAGTGATGACGGCGTTGAACGCCGTTTTAAGCTCACTGTTGGTTGGTTACTGTTAGTGGCACTTTTCGGGAAAAGTCGATAGAGAAAGTAGCGGTGTAAATCAAGTACCATGACTCGTTTGGTTCCTATTGGACATGAAGAAAAATCTTGCTGACCTTTATCTATTTTCAGCACTAAGAGATTGCCTCCTTTGTGTCCTTTTAATGAGTTTTAATACTTACCATGTTAAAAAAAAACTATATAACCAAGGTCCTTAATTAAGTCATTTATAAATTAATTATAGATAAACTTATATATTAAGTATACTTGATGTAATCTATCTATATTATACTATATTAAAAGCACCAAGGCCCTTAGCTAAATGTCGTTCGGGTTCTTTTACCCTTTAAAAATATATTATATATTGGATAAAATAGTAATTTAAGTTATTTGCCTAAAATTTAGGGCTTCAAAATTAACTATATTTTGTATATTAAATACTTCCTTGTTTAAAATAGGTATGAATCCTAATTTATAGGACTTACTTTTATCACATTTGGTTTTCCATTTCTTTTATTAATAAGAGATAATGTGCTTATTATATTTCCAATTCTAGTTTATTTAATAAAATACCTACAATAAAAGACTAAAATTTAAAACTAACGTTTTTTCCATTTTAAACTTGATCTTTATAAGCAAAAAAAGAAATTGAAGTCCATCCAAATTAATGTTAATTATTATATAAAAAATACTTCATTTAATTATTTTTATAATTTTTAGAAGTTTAAAATTAATAATTAATTTTTTTTATTATTTGGACTAAAATTTCTAATACTTAGAACTTTAAAATATTAAAATTCTACTTTATATAGATCATTCACTTAAATTATGTGAGATGCCTTATACACCGGACTACCTTTTTTTTAATTCTAATTCTAAGTCATTCTCTAGAGTTAATATGTCATGGAAAAGTCACTTTCAATTATAAATTCTCTCACAAGCTTGCTTTAGTATCCTTTTAAATGTATTTTTTTATTGATATTTAATTTAATTTTGTGATCATATGAAAGTTGTAGATTATTAGTTGCCTGATTATATATTTTAAGTTATCCTTCAGCGCTATTTAGGTTTTTAAGGACTTGTTCTTGCTGAAACTGGAAAATGAAGCATGATAACTTGTGAAATTAAAGGTATAAGGTTTTTAAGGACTTGTTCTTGCTGAAACTGAAAAAGGAAGCATGATAACTTGTGAAATTAAAGTTATAATATTATTAAACTGAAATAAATTTTAAGTTGAATTATTGACTTATGATTGAGGATTTTTACGAGAGCTTCTTTCTTTATTTAGTTATTATGCACATTTAACATATATAATTATTATTAGGAACTTATACTTTTATTTTATTGTTTAAACATAAATTTTAAATAAATTAGTACTCATTGAGATAGAATACACGCGCATCGCGCGTACCTTAAGACTAGTTTGATAAAAATAACAACTACTATACTCAGGCGGAGCTAGAAGCCCTATTATAGGTTCACCAAAACTCCAGAAACTTTTGCGCAAACAGTGTATTTATGTTAGAAAATTCATTAAATATGTACAAATACTAGAATCCAATTATTAGTATTTGAAGTCATCGTTCTACAATTTCAAACCCATCAAATTAAAATCTTGGTTCTGCCTCTAACTATACTACAACATAGTATTAAACTGTGTTGATATGTCAAAAATCTTATACTTTCATTTCTTTTTTATTAGGGGTATACGAATTACCAAAAGGCATGGGTTCATTTTTTTAAGAAAAATTTTTCGTTATGAGAGGGTGTTGTTCCTATAACATTAGGAAAAGAATTGAGTTTCATATATGAGTGTTTATTTTGTGTAATTTTTATTTTATGCCAAATAAAATCATTTAGTGGATTTTACAGTTAATATCAAATAATACCAAACTGAAAAATAAATCAATTCATCAAATTAATTTGGTTCAATGTTTAAAAGAGGGAAACAAAAAAGAGAAAGGAACAATGGAATCTTCTACTTCTACATTAGGGGACCCCTTTCATTTATATTTTATAGGATCCCTACAACTTGAGGGTAGTGGGGACCGTGGATTCTTAGATGTCAAATAGTACACGCGCTGGTGGATTCAGGCAGCGGACTTTTGATCCTTTCCACCAATCAGAGAACGTGTGATTTTCACGAAGAACACTGTCACTGTTGTGAACTTATAATGCCGACTCAGCTGCCTAATAATTCGTTCATCCTCTCTTTTTTTCTTATTTTACGAAATTTGCCATAAATAGAAAAGGACTGGAAGCTGAAAAGAGTCCGGAACCAAAATGTGGTTCTTTTGGACAAGTAGCACCTTAATAGGTGTAAAAAAAAAAGATGACATTTTTATATATAGCGCCCAAATACTGGGCGCTATACATTAACGTTTACTGTGCCGCTAATGTATAGCGCCGAGTATTTGGGCGCTATATATAAAAAGCTGTCACGCCCAGGTATAGCGCCCAAATACCCGGCGCTATACCCCTTTTTTAAAAACGAGCCGTCTTCTTCAAGACGACCATTCTGCTTCTTCTTCCTCAATATTTTATATCCGGTTCTTCTTCTCGAAACTAGTATGTTAAATTTATCCGGATTTAATATTAGTGTTTTATAAAAAAATATAAATTTGTCTGTTAATATCCTAATTTATATACACACATAACGTAATATTTGACCACGCTATGCTTTGCGTGTTAAAGGTTTCGACAGGTACGAAACAGCTTTATGTCAGTTGGACAGCCTTTTCAGTTCGACAAGACAACACACATAACGTACTCTTTGACCACGCTATATACACACATAACGTAATATTTGACCACGATATGCTTTGCGTGTTAAAGGTTTCGACAGGTACGAAACAGCTTTATGTCGACAAGACAACACTTATATATAAAAAAAATTAGCCATAATTAAAATTAAATTAATTAGCCTTATGATATTTCAATATTTTTTCCAGTTCTTCCGAACATATAATTTTTTAAAATATCATTAAAAAAATTAAAATGGAAAAGTTCAACTCATAATTAACAAACATAATTTTATTTTATACAACTTGCAACATAAACATAGCAACGTCCTATTACAACATAAACTCAGTGATAGTTAGGCATAATAGAAGAAGGGCCACCAAGAGCTTGAGTACTATTGCCACCCGAACCAGCCGAAGGACATTTTCGACGGTCGTGTCCTGTTTGCGAGCATATACCACATCTGCGCGCATAAACGGTATCACTAATATCCATTTGGTTCCGTATATGCGTTCTCTTCTTCACCTGTATTCGGCGCAAATAGGACTTGTTACACACCATTTTAAATGGTTCAGGCGACTAATAATGCTCAGCACCCACTAGCTGCAACTGCCCACTATATGTGTTTAGGTACTTCGAAACACTATATTGTTGATCAACATAGTTGGTTGCACCTAAACCAACTTGTTGAAAGCACTTGATAGCATGTGGTAGATGGACCATTTTCCACAAGAGCATAACCTTGTAGATTCATTTACAGTATGCACATTATTACCCCGATTTAGATGGATAGCGGTGCGAACTTTAAAAATATTTCTTTCGTTATCGTACTGCAAAAATGAATGTCAATGTGCTCGCCGTCTGTATTTCTCAAATCTCTTCATCGGCACTGGCATAAATTCAACACCCATTTCCATCAATGACGTTGCAGCTGCAGACCTTTCAACAAACCTCTCCGCCATCTGCTTGAACGACATCCGCACCATGGCTGTGACAGGCAATCCTCTTGCCGACTTCAATAACCCGTTGAAAGACTCTGACACATTTATAGTCAGAGTTCCCCATCGTCTGCCACCATCTGCATGCAAAGTCCACTTTTCAAGGTCATGTCGTATTAACCAACGATAGGTTGCCTCGTCTTCTTGCCTGATATATTCCATGTGCCTCCGGAATTTATGTTGTTGGTGGTCTGTTGCTGCCATCCACATCAAATCATGCTGATCCTTGTTGGGATATGCTTTCTGGAAATTGGATTTAAGGTGCCTAACACAGTAATGATGTAGGCATAAGGTTCTTGCCATGCAGGCAAGTTCTCCACAGAACTTAAGATACCACCGTGCCAATCAGATATTACACAGATACCGGAACGCTGTTTGACAACGTGCTCTTTCAAGTGGTTCAAAAACAGTGTCTACGTCTCTTGGCTTTATTGGCACAAATAGCAAAAGCTAGAGGAAATATCTGTCCATTAGCATCTACTGCCACGGCTATCACCAGCTTGATATCGTACTTTCCATAGACATGAGTGACGTCTATGGATATTACGGGCCGACAGTGCGAAAAACCATCAATTGCTGGTTTAAACGCCCAGAACACGTAATTGAATATATATTTTGGTTTACCCTGACTCCGCTCAAGCTTCCGTTCAACATCCGTCCCGGGGTTAAACTGTTGCAGTGCAGCCATGTACCTAGGCAGATCTGCAAATGACTTATCCCAGTTACCATAGACTATTTCAAACGCTCGTTTGCGCCCGAGATATGCCTTTCTTTTAGTAATGGTATGGCCATGTTCCTGGTGGACTATTGTAATGCACTCTTTGATTTTATACCTTATGGACGCTTCGATGTGTGGAATAAGAACAAGAGAAATCAAGTCAATATCCAAGTTGAAGTGATTCCCGTTGAATGTGTCCATTTCGCATGCATGGGTGGGAATGTATTTACCCACTTTCCACAGACCTGACTTCTTCTTGCTCGCACGCAACATCCAATTACATGGCCAAAACCACCTGCGGCAAAAAGCCTTATATACTATCGGACTTGACTCCCATACCTGCATCTCACGACACTCTTTTATGTTGTGCATTTTACAAGCCCTGCTTACCCACGCTTTATCAGGAAAAAGCATCCTCTTTGCAAGCACCATTGGTCTAGACTCATCCCACATTGCTGTCCGGATTTCATCAAAATCCCTTGTGAGAGCTTCCACATCCGGCACGGTTGGCAAGTTATCAATGTAAAGAATCTCCCTTGAATGAAACGACACTTCGAACTCGTACACTCTTCGTCTAGGGGGGTCTCTCTTCAAATCATGTCCTTCCTCCTCATCCTGTGCATCACCATCCTCACGAGGAAAGGGTGT